GTCTTCCTTTTTGAAGTGGTTTAGCACTAATTTAGCCAATACTAACCCATATTCTTTCTGTTTTAACAAGCCATTAGAGCCCCCCGCTGTGCCAAGGCTCGGAGTAACTGACAGAACGAGAGAGGGTTTAGTATCATATTATGTAAGATTTGCCCAAGAAAGGTAGCATAAAATGAAGAAAATAGTTTCAGTCTTTATGACTGTAAACTAGAGTCTGGCCCCAAGAGTTCAGCAGAAAAGATTATGTTATTTGAGAGTAATAAAACCTGAAGCATTGGAAGAAAGTTTATTTATGAACAAAATGTTAATAGAGAAGGAAGATTATCATGCCACAAGACATCTCCATCCCTTTACAGTTGGGAGTCAGCAAGAGTAATGTCAGCTTTGAAGTCCTGACTTCTTTTGTGCAGTTCGAATTGTTTCTCTTCTGAGTTTCATCATTCTCCAAGCTTCATTCTCCATCATCTCCTGATGATGGGGCCCCTGGAGATTGTGTTCTGTTGCAGTAGGATTAACCAGAAAACCCAAACATAAGCTTGCCAAAGATTCTGAGCCTCAAGCCCATGTCCATCCCCATTTGGCACAAGACAGTGCCCATTTGTTTGCACAAGGTACATCGAGGAGCAGCCAGCCCCAGCCAGGGAACTGTAAAACTGATTTAGAGACACTTCTGCTTCTTCCTTAGCTTGGTTCTGGGCCAGAGCAGCTTGGCCAGACCAGATGATCAGCCTTCTTCTGTATTTATTGGACTATGTCTCTGTGATAATGGCCTTTAGTAGTGAGCAACGGTGGGCTTGTTTAATCTTTGGTATGTGCTTTCTTCTCACACTGTACACAGAAAGGGCAACATGCAGTACAACTGAGAAAAATAAGCTTGCCTATTTATAGTAAATAAATAGAACAAGAGTGCTGCTGCTGCTGGTGAAGGCGAAGCTCCAGTCTTTCTCTTTTTAAGGGTCATTTATCACTCAAATTTACAAAAGTTAGGCCACTTGAGCTGATACATGCGCCTGCCGAGTACTCACTAGAACCTGGATCTTTCCTGGAAAGCTCAAGTAGAAGGTGCGATAGAAAAACACACTTGGGAAACCTGCTGTAATGAGCAGCCAGGTTTTGAGGAGGTTACTCGTCTCTCCTTTCCTAGGGGATCTTAGGGAGCACTCCCAATGCCTTAGACCTCATCAAGGGTTCCGAGAAGAAACCTCACCCTTAGTCCTCTCAGGTCCAGCATATCTTTCATCCTGAATATGTTGTTCCAGCTCTATCATGTGTGACACCTTCTCTGTAGGGCATAGGGTCCCCTCCTCACCTGCCTGCTGGCATGGCAAGGTATTAGCCACACGTGACAGCATCTCCATGTGCAAGTACCCTGTGTCTGGGGTCAGGCTTCATATTCCCATCAGAGGAGGTTCCCATGCATCTTCATAGCCCCAGCTGGCTGCCCTGTCTCTGTTACAGCAGAGATCCTTCACCACCTTCTCCCCTCCAAAATTTCCTCTCCAGGGCACCCAAGTACCTTTTTCAAGGGACTTCACCCAAGTCCAGGACCACAGCCACCAGCACCTCTGGTTACCTCCACCGCCCTCTCCATCACACCACTCCCTGCTGCTGATGGCTCCTGCTCTGTTTCCACAGGGCAGCCCTTCCTGGCATCCTGCTGCTCTCCAGAGATGCCATGGGAGTGCAAACCCCTTGCTGATGAGCAGAAATTACAGATTGCCAGAGGAGTGGGGCAGTCCTGGCATCCCTGCCCCGATGGAGCTGCTGTGGTGCTGCCCAGCCCTGTTTCTTGTCCTCACCAAGTCACTGTTGGGCATAATTTTAGGTTAATCTCTGTCATTCACCTCTGCAGGAAAATACTGTTACCTCTTGGTCTCTTTTTATACTTTTCACACACACCTGGTAACTAACAACCATTTATTAGCCTTACCTTTTAGTTATTTAATGTCATGGTTGCCAATTTAATCACTTTTTTTCTTTTCAAGGAAGCTTAGGTTATTTTAGGCTGGCAATTCTATTAACTCTTTTAAAAACCAATATGCTATAAAGAGGAATGAAAGTGTGGCCACGACCTTTTACACAGTCATTTAAATCACAGCCAGCAGAGAAATGCTGAGGGTGATCGATTCGGGTGTTCACTGATGTACATCGCTGCGCTTTGGATAACCAATAACCTGTTCACAGTTGTGTGTAAACAGAATAAAACTGGTACTGTGGAAAGCATTTAATAGTTGCCTGAAGTTCCTTAGTGTTCAATTAATCATCTCCTGGCTCTGTTCTGCCAGTGTGACTCCTTTGAGTATCAGTTGTCTCAAACACTTGACAAATATTTCACTGATGGGGAAGTAACAAGGAGCAGCAGCAGTGACCTGGAGGTGCATTGAGCTTATCATGGTGCTCTTTTAGGTCACAGAATAGGCATCTTTTCCCATAGCCTCTGGTGGATTGGATACATGTATGCACTTTTTCCTGTACTGAACATTCATAGAAGTTAGGGAGAAAAAAGACCTGGTTTAGCCCACCCTGGTTCACAAAGCAAATTTACAGGGCCTCTGACCACCTATTTACTGCAGGCTTTGGGGAGAAAAGTCCATGTTAAAAGAATGTTATTGAAATTGCAAAAATCTTATGAAATGCCAGGAACAGCCTGCTTATTCAACTTGAAGTGTTATATATATGTATGTTACCAAGGACGGATGGATGAATGATGCTTATGGGTCCCTCCCAACTTGAGATATTCTATGATGGATGGATGGATGGATAGATGGACAGATAGATAGATGGATAGACGGATAGACAGGTAGACAGACAGACAGATCTTTTGACAAAAGACAGGCTTTGAGCAACCTGGTCTAGTGGAAGGTGTCCCTGCCCATGGCAGGGGGGATTAGAACTAGATGATCTTTAAGGTCCCTTCCAACCCAAACCATTCTATGATTTTGGGAGTTGCATAGTCACTCAGTATTTTGTCCATGGCATATCTATTCCAGTACGTGGGTCACCAAGGACTGCAAGGTTGTGTATGATACAGGTTAGATCAGCCCTAAAACCTTCAGTGGTATCTCATATCTTCAGACATAGCATAGGTCTAAGTTAAAGTGTCTTAAGGTACACAGCGCTGGGGAGACCACTGCTGTTCAGAGGCTCTGTTTCCAGATAGTAATCTAAATAAGATGAGATGTAATTGTACAGGAAATTTTATATTAAAGGCTCCAGCAATGGAAAAGCTCTAAAAAAATTTACTGTTTGAGCCCAAAGGGGGGTATTTTAATAAAGCAGGCTGACAAAGGTGTTAAAGGGAAAGTAAGTTTTTCATCTGTAGTCTGAAAATGCAAAGCCAGGTGGAAGAAGTGCCCCGTGGAATTCTCATTCTTTGGGTAAAAGCACTGGATGCAGCAGAAGGTTTCTGTCTGTGGCGGTTTTGTCAGCTCTGAGCTGTGACCCTGTATCCAAGGCAACTGTTTCAGGATGTTGGGTGGTAAGGAGCTGTAGAATAAATGAGAGGTAGTTGTGAAATACACAGGTATGACTATCGGGCAATAATGATGCAATGTTAACAGCTGGCAAAGAGGTTGAAGGGAGCACCAGAACCCAAATCCGGAATATGGCATTTTCTGCTTTGGTACGGTGTGTAACTTAGTAAAGACCAACCAAGACTATTGGAAAGCCATGAAGTAAAGCAAGTGTGGAACAGACATGAAACAAATTGGTTGCACTTAGTTTGTGTGTCTGTGTTCTGTAACCTTCATCGATCAGGGGACCAGTCCTGGATAGGAGCTTAGTCTTTATAGTGTGAGAATTTCTTTCCCTCTGGAACTGGCATTCTAGTTATAGGGTGGGTTTTCTTATTTCTGAGAAACCATTTGTTTAAAGAGTTATATTCAGCAATTTTGGTTTCTTTTGATTCCTTTAAATACAACTGCATTCTACTTACATAATGGTACAGAGGTGATGGTAGTCTCATGATCTAAGTACTGTTATGCTCTGGGACTTAAAATGATTGCTCAGTTGCACTGACTTGGCTGTATGAACCAAGTTCCATGGCAGGAAACTTGCTTAAGAAGAACTGGGAGGCTGGCTGAAAGAGGCAGGGACATACTCTGCCATGGTAAATGCTGGAAGAGTTTCTTATGTTCAGTTTTCAGGGTGACCAAAACTTTCCTCCATCTCTGGGTAAATAGGCATCTTTAATGGAAAACTGTCACCAGCTTTTATCTCAAATTAGAGTAAGAGAATTGGCCTGAGAGTAGAGCTCACAGATACTAAAGCTGCTATTCCTTTTTGTCTTCTGACATCAAACCTCTCTTACCCATAAGAAAACAGGTAAAAGAAAAGAAAGCAGGAGCAACAGGAAGCGTATCACAAGTTTGTCCAGTCTCCCTACCTTTTGATTCCATCACCAGCTTAGGTGAATTAAAAATCCAGATGAGCAGAATAGTAACCACTAAACCTATTATTCAAGGCAGGATGAGGGACTTGTTAATGGCTAGCACTTACCCATGAGGGGCTGCTGAAGGGTAAGTGTTACCTGAGAGTTTTTATCATCTCTACTAATTCTGTTTGTCTGGGGAGAAGTAGTATTGAGCAGCTGATATTAATGCTGCCATAGAGCTTGTAGAGATAAAAAGTGGTGAGGTGGATTAAGGCAGAATTATCATGAGGGAGGTTGAAATCTTGTGACACAGAATCAGCCTCAAGGTACCTGTGCAATATGTGTCAGGGCCACCAAAAAATGCAAAGCTCCTTTCTTGGAAGCACAGGCAGTTCTGGATGAATTTGTTTCGCCCAGACGACATGATGTACTTACCACAGAGCAGGGGCTGAGCTCAGAGGTATTGTACGGAACATACCATGACTAATCCCTCATGGTCCAAGTGGTATGGAAGGGATAAACACAGCTAACAAAAGAAGATGCTGCACAAAAAGTACACAAGTACACTTGTATCTGCTAGCTGTTGACCTGAAGTTGCTGTGTTTGCCTGGTCTTACTTTTTGCCTAGTTGATGTATTTGTTAGCACTCTCGTGGCTGTGATGGGTCCTTTCACCTTGCGGAGCTACACACTGAATTTTGGTAACATCATGCTTCAGAAAATCTTGCTTAAACAAACCTCATCAAAAATACAAAACTTCACCACCTCTCATGAATGATCCCCAGCAAATACTAAGAAGCTTCAGCACATTTACAACTTCATACAAACTGTCACTATTTCTCTTTTTTTAATTAATAAATATGTCTAGCCATATGTGTGACAATAAACCCATTTATTTTGATGGTGATGTTCACATGCTTGCTGTGAAGCACATGTTTAAATGTTTTGCTGACAAGGCATGGGCGAACAGATGCTTTCTCCATAACGAGCTGGCCGTGTATCCTTAGCTGGCAACCGCAAGCTCCGTGCCTTCTTCTGAGAACCAGGCACTAGTGGGTATTCATCATCAAATGAGAAGGCTTCTACCAGCAACCAGCCGACCCAGGTAACAGCTTAGCCTCACAGAGGAGGAGGAACTGCGAAGAGCTTCCCAGTCACCCATGTTAAGCCTGGGACCCCGAGGCAGGCTTTGTGATGTCTGCTCAAAGGTGGTCTTTTAGCACGATCAAACGGAGAGACTGTGGGTCCAGAAAACAAAATCTGATGACGTCTTTGGTAATTTTTTATTTTCTGGTAACACTATGCAGGTTTCTCACTGTCTTTTGCAGAAAAGACTGTTTCTGCTGTGAAGAAACCGATGATGCAGTATAGTCTGAATTGCTGGCACACAGTTGTTTCCAAGCATGCCCGATCTGTTGCGAAAGTAGAACCACCTCCTTCCTCATGCACTTACCTGTCATTGAAAAGATATTTCCAAGTTTACTTTTCATGAGCATTTACATTCTTGTATCAACAAATGCAAAATGCTGTATCAGAGAAGAACGAAGGTAGCACAAATAAAGTACTCAGAAAAATAGAGCCAATGCAAAAATAAATCAATGTGTTTCAATATACATCATGAATTTTCTGTTGCTGTTTAAAGCTGCATCGTGATAATAAACTGGATTTAATTATTTCATTATGCTCTATGCCAAAAGTAGCTCCTTTTTCTTCACAAACTTTCACTGATGTGGTCAGATGTTGATATTTGCCTCCTTGAATATGTTCCTTGCTCAGCATTTTCATGGAACACAAACCATTAATTTAGATTAAATGTGGTTATTTATTCATGGGGCACTCTATTTAACCATGAATAAACAAAAGCAGTCACCTCATTGGTACACTTTTTGACTGAACCACTGAGCATTTTTAATGGGAAGGACAAGGACAGTAGAATTGAGTTTCAGAGAGAGTATGTGAAATACGTGTAACTATTTTTCATTAAATAACTGGTATCAGCAAATAACATGGAGCAAACTTACTGTATCTGTTTGCATGCAAGTTTAAGATCACTTTTGCTGTTATTTAAGCATCTGTAGCTACAAGGCACTACTCGACTCCTTATATAGAAAAGTAGGTGTATGAGTAATGTCAAAACACAATTCTTGTAAGGAGGAGGTGAATTAATATTGCTGCTGGCTCTTTCCAGAGTTTGCATACTCTGATATTCCTATTTAACTGTGCAGCAGTGTTTTTGCCTGCTGTAATTACCAGTCTGCCAGGCAGCTCTGCAGTGTGGGTATGTTGCTGATGGCTTTTCCTTCTTCCCATGATGGTATCAGGTGGGTTTTGGTTAAGACTTTAAAGTGTTGTTATTTTAAAAACAATATTCAGTATTTGGGAGTTGGTTTTTTCCCTGTTTTACAACCTGAAAATTCTCATCTTCTCCGGGAATAGTATAATCAGACCTTGAAAACAAGAGTGTTGCACTGGGTTACAGCTTGCAGAGCTTAAGCTTTCCATTGGGTCATGCTGACTCATACACATGAGAGCAGGGAAATGGCCTCTTCACTTCATCCGACCTCATAGAGGTTTGGACTCATGAATGCTTCTACATGCATTTACAGAGTGGTGTTGCTCTGTTAATATGCTGCCTTTCATCTCTGCGAGGGTTTTTTGCTTGCTCTTGAGTTTTAGTCATCTTGTTGAACTTTCTGGTGCCTTTTTCATTCTTAACAAAACTTGGTTTCGTGTTGGCCTGAGCTGACTTAGAAATAGCATGTCTTTTGTCCAGTGGGATGGGATCTTTGTTAAGTTACGTATGTCCTGAGCTTACGCATGAAAAACTATGTCATTAACATTACACGTTTATCTCCACACCTTAGGATTTGGAATGACCACACCAGCAACCGTGGCTGGAAAAGTATTCCTCATCGTTTATGGCCTTTTTGGGTGTGCTGGGACTATCCTTTTCTTCAACCTCTTCTTGGAGCGCATTATCTCTCTCCTGGCGTTTATCATGAAAGCGTGCCATGAAAGACAACTGAGAAGAAGTGGTCTCCTACCTCCCAACTTCCGAAGGGGGCCAGCTATGTCTGGGGTGGGCAGTCTTGTGGGCTGGAAGCCTTCCGTTTACCATGTGATGCTGATCTTGGGAATTTTTGCTATTACCCTTTCCTGCTGCGCCTCTGCAATGTACACAGCAGTGGAAGGATGGAATTATGTTGACTCCTTGTACTACTGCTTTGTCACCTTCAGCACCATCGGGTTTGGAGATTTGGTAAGCAGCCAAAATGCTGCGTACCAAAATCAGGGATTATACAGATTCGGAAACTTCATATTTATATTAATGGGGGTATGTTGCATATACTCTCTTTTTAATGTCATCTCAATCGTAATCAAGCAAGTTTTGAACTGGGTGTTGAAAAAATTCGAATGCAGATGTTGCCCAAAGTGCCATAAATCAAGTGCCCGCCTTGGACGTCGCAACGCCATCACCCCAGGAGCCCGCCTGCGCCGACACAACATCTCAATGGACGCTGATGGACAGTACGACAGCGACACCGAGGGGAGGAGGCTCTCTGGAGAGATGATCTCCATGAGAGAGCTCACAGCATCCAATAAGGTCTCCCTGGCCATTTTGCAAAAGCAGTTGTCCGAGACGGCCAATGGCTACCCGAGGAATGTTTGTATCAACACGAGACAAAACGGTTTCTCTGCAGGGGTGGGTGCTCTGGCCATTATGAACAACCGCTTGGCAGAAACGAGTGATTCTAGGTAGAGTTTTTGAAATTCCTTTTGTTTCTTTAATAAAAATGAAAAGGGGGTTAGGGTGGAATTATCACTGTAAGCTACTGGGAAGTTTTCATTTCAGAGACAGCTTTGGTATTCATTGGGTGTTCAGTTGGGGGTTTTGTAAGTCTTCTCTAATATGCAGCAACATCTTTACCATAATGCTACAATTTTCCCCAAAGGTGTTTTTGGAAGAAACTTGGATGTCTTTGATGCAGTATCTGATGCAGTAATAGGAGGATGGTGTTCGTAGTTAAGATGGTGTCAAAACCAAGATGTTGTTCTTCAGAACATAGCCTGAGCCCAAACTCTTTGTTAATGCATAAAGTGGGCAAGTTTGGCTCCAGATTCAAACTTGGAGTTAATAAGGTTTGGCTAAACCAGTATCTCACAGTTTGTTGAAGTCTGGATCGAGCCCTGAATTTTGTACCCAATGCTCTTCAGCTCCTCATAACAGGCCTGTATATAACATACATGTAGGTGACTGCAGTTACACCAGCTTTAGGGTGATTGTGCTTCACTTGAATAATGCTGATGACTTAAGTGATGGAGGATTGAATGGGCTGAATTCCCCTGATTAGAAATGATGGTTTTTAGCCATTCTTGTCTGAAACACTACCTGCTATCTATCTCTTCAGGGGATTATCAAGAAAATGTGCAAAACCGTTCCTACCTGCTGAGTAACTGAAAACAGGCAATTGTCAACTTTGGTACTGACTTCATTTAATGCAAGAGAAGCCAGTATGCACCTCTGGCATCAAACGTTTGCATCACCACTGAAATGCTTATTTCATCACTTTTACATGAAAATAAGTAGCTAAAATTAATGTAGATTCTTCTTGTCCTAAATGTGCATCTTCTAGTCCTGCAATATGGTTGCAGAGATTCATGCAAATGATTTCCTTGCAGTTCTTTGGGGGTCCCCACCCTGTACTTGTTTCCCACAAATCTGACTGTGTAGGTTATACAGAAGAGAATTGCTTTGGAAGTCCCCCAGATGGCTTCCCCCAGAAATGTTGGTACTGTCATAAGTGGCTGTTACTACTGTCTTAAGTCATATTTAACCTGTGCTAGCCCAAACTGCTGAAGAACTAGAAGCAAACCAGAAGTGTCTAGTTCAGCATGACAAATGGGTGCGAGGGAATTGCCGCGAGTCTCTTTCAGAAATAAATGCACAGCTCTGGATCATTTCTCTAAATTCTCCATACTTGGCCACTCATATAATGCAGTGAAGGTAATAAAAAGGCTTCTGCTGATTCCAGCAGAATAAAATAAGAAGAAGAACTTCAGCTTAACATCTGAAAAGTGGCAATGGCCTGCTCTTGAAAACTGATTGGGAAATTGTAGGCAAGACCATGAGTACTAGGTTGGTCAATGAATAAATTGAAAACCCTGATGAAAACAAACTAGAAATATTAAAGAAGTTTGAAAATATTTCCATGAGATTTTGTATAGATATTTTACTCTGTTGTTTACTTACTTTACTTTGTTTTGCGTGGGTTTGGGGAGTCCATCATTTTTGCTTTCCTTGTAGAAGCGCAAAACATTTTGGAATATAACCTTGGTAAAGTAACTTCTGAGGTTTTGCAGACTTGAGTGTGCCAGCTGAAGTATAGTAATGATTATATCTTCTGCCTAAAGGAGAAGGGATCAGAGCAGCAGATAAACCATCACACGTTGATCTGTATCATACTAGAATTGTAGTCACAGCTTTTATCAAGATGCATTTGGCCAGAAACACGCAATGGTGTTTGGATTCTGTTTCTAGCTGATACAAACTCATGCTTAAGAGGATGTGGTATTCAAGAGGCATTAAGCTGTCAGGAGCTTACTTGGTGGCAGAGAGACTCCCTAAGGCCCATGTGTCTGAGTGCCTGTTTGTCTCTGTGCTCCATCTCAGATACTACCTTTGAGTGGCCCTTTGAAGAAGCAGACAGAGATCAAGGTGTTTGATGATCCTCATTTGAAGCCCACTGAAGGAAGCAGGATGTGTGCGGGCAGGTTGTGGTCTGGGAAGACTGACTGCTAAGACCCAGTTCAGGAAGGCCCTTTCCATAGACACAGGAGAGATCTTTGGAAATAGCAGAGGCAGGAAACCAAAAGAATGGGGGTTGATTTTTAAGTAAATTATTCTTAAAGAATAAATATTATGATTAGGATCTGTTTAAATCTTTGTAAATTGTTTTCAAACTACCTATTCCTGCCTGGGAAATACAGTGAAGTAATATGAAATTGAATATACCTCCTCTACTATTTCTGTACGTTTTCAGAGTCCAGTCAAAGGCAGACTGTTGTAATATGGCTTAAATGTTTCTGAGTCTTTTCAGTACCCTTGGTCACAGTGGCACAGTTGCAGGACCCTTTGCAGTCCCAAGTGAGTCCAGGGCAAGCTGCATTAGCTCCTAGCGCTGGGTTCGCCACGTGATTTGGGCACTATGTGCTTAGGTCTAATGTTTCTTTACTCCCAAGATCCTTGATAAACTCCATTCTGCTTCTCCTTAGCCTCAGAGACATATAAAGTACATTCCTACTTGTCTGCCAGTGCCCCTGTTTCTTGCAGGACACATATCCCCAGAAGCTGACACAACTCAACCACAGGACCCCCAGCTCGTATCTGAGCCCTGTAAAAATGCCCAACCCACCTGGCTCATCAAGGCCAGTTTATGAAAGGATTCAGAGCACGTTTACTGGGCTGGGTCTCACTCAAGAGCATCTGACAAGGGGTGGCCTTACAGTTTCCTCATACTCAGTACCTGCAATATTTTTTCAAGGGCACATGAAAACCAAGCTCCAAATCTCTACTCTTCTGCCTACAAGCAGTGTCAGGGCTCCCATGTGCATATGAGCCAAGAGGAGATGGGAGGTTTGAAATCAGTCTCTCCTAGTCCTTCCTGCTCGCTCTTCAGATTTTTTTTGATGACAACTCTCTTTAGACTTGCCAGACTCGGGCACCTAATTCCACTCTTTTATTATGTGTGATCCAACTCGGGATTCCCCAGGGCAGCCTGCTCCTTTTGTGAATCACACCCTAAACACGCTCCACTTGCACTAAGTGCAATTCCTCCTGGTGTTTCATTTTCACAGACAAAGCAGATACCTGCAATACCCGGACACAGGCTGGATGAAGCACAAGAAATCAGAAGTAAACAGGAGGAACAGAGAAAGCACACTGCACTAGATTGCACTTTCTTTTCCCAAGGTAACTTGGGATTTGTGTTACATTCTTGAAATGTTGGGGGGTGGAGGAGTGTTCCAGGTTTTATTTTTGGACAGCCTTGGCAGAAACCATAAACTTAGGATTTAAAGGTTCATCTTCCTTGACACAAGCCCCTCTGCACCACTCTGCAGAATAGCAGCAGCAACTCTTAGCTGGCACAGACCAAGACATCACAGTTGCCTTCTGAGAAACTGTAGAGGCAGCACAGGCAGGAGCCCAGACCCCGTGCCCCAAATTGGTCTTTTGCTGCCTGACCCTGAGAAGAGCATTCAGGAGCAGCAGAAAGCTGCAGGGCTTAGACCGTCTCTGTGAGCCAGCCCCTAGTGAGGGCAGCGACTGTGCAGGCATTAGCTGCTCAGACCTCCAGTAAGAAGGGAGGAGATACTGTGTTCACCTGGCCCATGTGCTAATACCTTGCAGTCGAGAATTAAAATGCACATGAAAATAAGGGACAGTGACCAAGCAACATCTTCTCTTTCCCCTGGAGCTCAGGGCAGAATGGTTACAAGGAACAGTTTCTTGTGAAACCCGTAGTGTTTGGCAAGTCACTACATACATCTACTTGGGGTTTGTGTGTGTGCCTTGGACGAAGTTTGGAGTCACACTGAGTTGTCATCCTGTTCTCTCTGGTTTCTTCCCATCTGCAAACACACTTCTGATTTTGTGCAAAATAAATGAGATTACTTTTTATTTCCTTGCAATGCAAAGGACGTCTTTCAAACGATACACATATTCAGAGAAGTAATCTCATTGACCTCAGTCAGAGATGGAAGTTTCTGAAGGATGAGGCTGTAGTTTACCCACTTCCCTGCAGAAGAAATGTTGCATAAGTAATTCCCATTACTGCTAGCAAGACATATAAAGGTACCTTAGGCAGTGGTTGGGGCCATGCAGCAGCAGGCACAACTAAAAGTAGAAAGAAGAAAATCTGTTATAAAGGATATTTGTACCTCTGATATGATAAACTAATTGCCAGCTCTAATTATAGCAAAAATTACTGTTAGGAAACAGGAGAGATATAAGAATCCTATGAAAGCTCTGTCCCATGCCGTGCTTAAGTTACCCAGAGATGGATGCACTGTGCTGCTGCCAGTTGGTATAGTGCTGGTGTCCCAGCCCAGCTTCAGCTCCAGCCCAGTCTTTTCCTCCCCAGCTTTCTGCAGGTGAAAATGTGGATATACTATGCCCATTTACATCATTTACCTGTATTTCAGTCATGACTTGCCTCTGAAAGGAGGATTAGAGCAGCAGTGGAGGCCATATATACTCAGGCATGCAGGCGCTCATAAACCTGATTGATTGCCTATGTGGGATGAATGTATATTTATATTGAAATTAGCTGTAGCAGTGAGACCAGTCTCAATTTTTGTGTTGCTCTAACCTTTAACTTGAAAAATATTCAGTGACTAATTATTGCAATGAATGTCAGAGCTAATCTAAACAAAATCATACTTCAGTGATTGCTAGCAAATCTATGGGTATGGCTTCTGCTCTAATTGGATTACTAATGTGCCTTTCCAAACCAACAAGCGTTTTCAGTGTTACATTTAAAAAATACAATAAATGTTACAAAACATAATGAATTCAATTAGGGCATATTAATACTTGACTCACACAAAATAACTAATGAAGTGTGCGTGGCACATTGTACAACCAGTACAATTTTGGTTTTGTGAATACATCCATACTTGAGCATATTCTGCTTTTGTGACTGCTCGTGCTAGGACAACAGAAGCATTACATTGTGGGAAATGCAGGAAGGAATGACAAAT